AAGCGTGCGGGGCGCGCGGCCTGGCCCGCGGCGTGGACGGCCTCGCCTCCCCGGGCCGCGTGTGCACCGGTCGCTTCTCCGAGACCTGCCGGGCTCGAACCGCGGCCCTCGGATCCGCCACCGAGTTGTCTGTCTGTCTGTCTGTCCTCCTCGGGATTCCACGGCTCCTGACCGTGGTTTTCTAGCCATCGGCCATGGTGTTCGCAGCACCCACTAGCGCACGCGTGTGTGTGTGTGTGTGTGTGTGTGTGTGTGTGTGTGTGTGCGCGCGTGCGCGCATGCGCGTGCTGGAGCTTGCGCTCAGGGCCTGACTCTGTCCCTGAGCCTTTTCCACTCCAGGCTGGCGCTCTACCACCTGAGCCACACCTCCCCTTCCGGGTTTTTGCTGATTTGATTGGGAGAGATCAGAAGCTCATCGACTTTTCCCCGCACCGGCTGGCACTGAACCGCCATCTTCAGACGTCAGCCCTCCTGAGTAGTTGGAATTACAGGCGTTGAGCCACCAGCATCCGGCTGGTCAGCGGGCCATGATTGAAAGCCTTAGCAGGCCCGTCCCGTGTCCGCCGCTTCCTCGGCTTCTACAGCGGTCGCTGTAGAACCCGCTGTAATAGGGAGTTGTTTACTAAATCTCTCCTAAAAGAATGGATCAGTTCACCTAGTGAGAGAAAACATAAACTGGTTCTCACCTAGAATCTCAGCTATTCAGTAAACAGCTGGAGGGTCATGATTCAAGGCTAGCCAGGGCGAAAAGGCTGTGACTCCATCTCAAGAGTAGAGTAGGTGCATTTATAATGCCAGCTACATGAGGAGCATCAATAAGCAGTTATTGTCTAGGCCATCCTGAGGGGGAAAAAATAAGAGACTATGGGAAAAAAAATCAAGCAAAGGGATTGGGACATAGGTCAAGTGGTAAAGTGCCTGCCTAGCAAGTGTGAGGTCCTGAGTGCAAACCCCAGTATTGAAAGTTAAAGGGAGGGCTGGGAAGTTGGCTCAGTGGTAGAGCACCTGCCTTGCATGCATGAGGCCCTGGGTTCGATTCCTCAGCACCACATAATCAGAAAAAAGCCAGAAGTAGTGCTGTGGCTCAAGTGGTAGGGCACTAGCCTTGAGCTGAAGAGCTGAGGAACAGCGCCCAGGCCCAGAGTTCAGCCTCCACAACTGGGAAAAAAAAAAAAAGATCCTTAGCTTGACACCAGGCTAGATGACACAGGGATTCTCTGTCTCAGAAAAAATAAAAATAAAACGCGGAAGGAAATAAAGATTCTTTTTTTTGGCAGGGGGAGGGGGGAGGTCGGGTCATAGGACCTGAACTCTGGGCCTGGGCGCTGTCCCTCAGCTCTTCAGCTCAAGGCTAGCACTCTACCACTTGAGCCACAGCACCACTTCTGGCTTTTTCTGTTTATGTGATGCTGAGAAATCGAACCCAGGGCCTCCTGCACACAAGGCAAGTGCTCTACCACTGAGCCATCTTCCCAGCCCTGAAATAAAGATTCTTAATGGCTGGAGAGAGAAGAGTTGGGAAACCATGGCAGCTTTCATTTAGATATCCTCAAGACCTACGCCACAAATAGTTCCTGCTTTTAGCTGGCCCTGTAGCTGGCTTTCTGGAGAGATGACCATAATTGGGGTTGAATTCATTTATATGATTTATGCCAGTGTCTTGCATGCTTGGAAAAAGAAGGCAGGGACCTGTAGGATAAACAAGTACACCAATATACTATGTATAAATACATGTCCAGTATATAACCCCCAGGAGGAAAAAGGGACTACCCTGACCCTATCCAAGTTGTTGGCTTAGAACCTGCATCTGAGACAGGTTACACACACACACACACCCCCAAGTACCCCCTCCATGGTTGTGCATCGAGTTCCGCAGCGATCGCCTAACAGCAGAGGGGCGGAGCTTAAACCTGAGGTGCTGACAGAAAGGCCGTGTGCAGAAGAAAACTACAGTTCCCGGCAGCCTCGGCGCGGCCAGACGCCTGGCGAAGTGGGCGGTGCTTCCGCGCGAACGGCTTTCCTATTGGCGCAGGGTCCAAACGGCCGCGTAAGCTCGCGAGCGATTGGGCGGGTTCGTGGCGCCGCGAAGCTTCCTGATTTTGAGTTGTGCTTTTTCGGTTGGGGCTCTGCGTCGCGGAGTGAGTGGAGGGTTTGGGGGTGTCGGGGACGGGGTTCGGGAGGAGGAACCCGGCGGGTGGGTGGGAAGTCACCGAGTAAAGGGCCCGGAGGCGGGAAACGTAACCCCGAATCCGGGGTCCTCAGGCCGGCGGGAGGCCGGAATCTGCCAGGGGAGAGGTGTCGGGATTGGGGGGTACGGGGCGGGGCGGGGGTGCTTGTAGCCCTCGACGGGCCAGAATGAAATGAAAAGGGAGCTCAGGATCCGACACCCCGGAGCTGGGCCCCGGCATCCCCTCGCCCCACACTGTGGGCCTCAGTTTCCTCATTGGCACCCTAAGGAATAATGAAAATACTAAGCAGAGTTGTGTGGGGTGGAGAGCAAAAGGCCAGGAGCGTGTGTCCCCAGCACAAGCAAAGAGAGAAAAAAGGTTTAAACCCTTCTGGGGTGTGTGTGTGTGTCATTGTGTCAGACCTGGGGTTTGAACTCAGGGCCTAGGCTCTATCCCTGAGCCTTTTTGCTCAAGGTTGGCACTCCATCTCCCGAACCACAGCTCCACTTCCGACTTTGCGCTGGCTCATGAGCGATATTGAGTCGTGGCCTTTCCCCTGCCTGGGCTGGATTCAAATGGCTATCCTCAGATCTCGGCCTCTTTGAGTAGTTTAGGATGACAGGCGTGAGCCACCAGCTCCAGACCAAATAAACCTGTTAGTTTTTGTCAGAGGCAAGGGCATTGATCCTTTGGGAGATGGACAGTAGATGAGTGATGACTTAGAGCTGGGGGTGAGGGTTGAGGCACAGGAAGGAGACATAGCTAGAGGGTGTAGGAGTCTCCAAGGGACAGAATGTTCAAATTCACTGTGATGACATGGCACACACCTATGACTAGATACAAACCCTTTCAGTGGTAGAGTACCAGCCTGTCCTGCACCAGGGACTCACCGAGTTCAAACTCCAGGACCACCAGAATTAAAGCCTAAGAGCCATTGAATTGACTGGGAGTGGTGACTCAGTGGTAGAGTACTTGCCTCGCATGCATGAGGCCCTGGGTTCGATTCCTCAACAGCATATAAACAAAAAGCTGGAAGTGACATTGTGGCTCAAGTGGTAGAGCGCTAGCCTTGCGCTGAAGAGCTGAGGGACAGTGCCCAGGCCCAGAGTTCAAGCCCCATGACTGAGGAAAAAAAAGAGTCATTGAATTATACACTTTGAAAGAGTAGATTTTATGCTATATATGAAGTGTGTCACCAAAAAGGGCTCTGTGGGTGTTTGAACCCAGGCTTATCTCCAGCTTGGGATCCTCCTGCCTCTGCCTCATGACAGGATTACAGACTTGCATCACTCTTGCTGGCTCCCAGGAAGCAGAGACATCCTTTATCATCCTACCGTATCGACTCAATAGCCTTTTTTGTTTGTTTGTTTTTGTAGGTGGTTTTTTGGCCAGGAGCAAATCAACCCGATTTGGAAGGAGGTGAGTATGAAGGAGTGTTCATTACATAGTGTGACCATCTCAGAAAAGGAAGAAAAAAAAAACACTCCAAGTTCATAAAATATTAGGAGCTGAAGCTGCTTTAAAGAATACTACATTTAGGTATATCACATTTTCTTCCAGAGTATTTTTGCTCCATTCAGGGGGCAGATATGATTATTGGAGCTGAGCACCAATAGTTCATACTTGTAATCCTAGCTACTCAGGAGGCTGGGGCTGAGATCTGTGGAATGAGGTTTAAAGCTAGTCTGGAAAGTCTGTGAGACTGATCTCCAATTAATCACCAAAAAAGCCAGAAATGAACAGGGCACCGGTAGCTCACGCCTGTAATCCTAGCTACTCAAGAGGCTGAGATCTGAGGATCACGGTTCAAAGCCAAGCTGGGCAGGAAAGTCCGTGAGACTCTTATCTCCAATAAGCCACTAGAAAACTGGAACTGGCACTGTGGTTCAAGCGGTAGAGTGTTTGCCTTGAGCTGAAGAGTGCAGGGACAGCGCCCAGACTGAGTTCAAGCCCCATGACTGACAAGAAAAAAAGCCAGAAGTGCAGCTGTGGCTCAAGTGGTAGAGTGCTAGCCTTGAGCCAAAAAGCCCAGGCCCTGAGTTCAAGCCCTAGGACCAACACACACACATGAAATATATATATGTACTATTGTGTTTTCCTTATCCCTCATTGTGTATTTTCATGTATTTGTTAGGTGTGAATAAGACAACATGAACTTTACCCCAACACCTACCCCGATCTGCAAAAAGTAAGACATGTGCTTGTTTTTAAGTTGTTTAAGACTTCTTCAACCTTAGTCCAAGGCTAGAAAATGGGAGCTAGAAAGGGCCCTATTCAATCTTGATTTGAACTATAATAGATCTCATTTCTCTAGTCTTATTCAGAATTTAGATCAAACACAAAAACAAGGGACTAGAAGGGTGGCTCAGTGGTAGAGCGCTTGCCTCACATACATGAGGCCCTGAGTTCGGTTCCTCAGCACCACATAAGCCAAAAAAGCGGGCAGTGGCGCTGTGGCTCTAGTGGTAGAGCGCAGCCTTGAGCTGAGGAGCTTAGGGGAATGCCAGGGCTCATTGCGCGTTGGGACCAGCCAGCGTTTGAACGTGACACCGGCTGGCCTCATGCTCCTCACCGCACACAGCCACGGCTGGGTGGGTCCCACTGCCGTATCACCGGACTATGTTTTCTGGTTAGTAGGTCATCTTCCTTCATTTATATTCTAGTTTTTCAAGTGATCTTTTCAGTCTCTCACATGCATTGCATCCAGTCTTAAACCACTGTGCTAGAAGACAGTTCATAAGTGAGTTTGAATACATACGAGCACTTGAAGCTACTCTCCTCCCCACTTACCTGTGCAATTATAGCATGTCAGAACTGTGACAACCCCGCTTCCCCATTGCCCGCAGAATATCCATCTCCGCCCATCGCGACGTTGCGTCCGGCAGCAGGACCCCCCCCAGATGGAGGGCGATGACAGACTCCGTGGAGTCAACCCCCTTGCCTTCAACCAAAGAGCGTCTGGCCGTCCTCTGCCCTTCTCAGGAGCTCCTGGAGTATTACCAAAAGAAGATGGCCGAGTGTGAGGTGGAAAACAAGGACCTACTCAAGAAATTGGAGCTCTACAAGGAAGCCTGTGAAGGCCAGGTAAGAGACGAGGCCCCGGCGCTGCGGCTCCCGCCTCCCAAGCAGCAGAGAGACACTGCGCCTTCTCCCCGCGGCCAGCGGCTTACCTCTGATCCTCCCCTGACAGCTAACTACTGGGCAACACCATTGCCTCCACAGCTTCTTGTCTGATGCATTGTTGGGTTTTAACTCAGGCCCCTCGCACTGGCCAGGCGGGTGCTCTGCCCTGGAGTCACAGCCTCCAGCCCTTCTTGGGCATCTCTGACTGGTGACCTGCATAGTCACTTAGGGGAGGGGAGATCTCCCTGTGAGTGGCTCCTCTGTCCCCTGCCCTCTGGGTCGCGTAGCATCACCAGGAGCATCAGCAGACATTGACTGCTCTGTCTGGGGCAGGCTGGGGAGGGCTAGAGGTAGAGGTGTGGATGCCAGGCTCCCCAGAGTGAGAACCCTTCCAGAAAGGCCCGTCACATTCTAGAGAAAGTGGATGTTACATGTTCAGCCATACTCGAATCACTATGTAACTGTGGCCGGGGTCCCTTTCCCGCTCCTTCCCTCATGTCTGCCGCATGAAGCCCGCCTTAGCCCTTCTGCCAGCCCAGATTGGGCTTCCTAGACCCACAGGATGGATGAGCTCACATGCCGGTCCTCACAGCCACCTACAGCCTCATCTCCGTCGGTCTGTCTCTGGGGATAGCACTTCAAGCATGCTAAGCATGTGCTCTACAACTGAGCCACACCCCTAGCTCATCCTTCAGATCCAGGGCTGGAGGTATGGCTCATGTGGGAAAGCACCTGTTTCATAAGCCCAAGGCCCCGAGTTCAGACCCCTAGTGCCATGAAAAAAAATTCAAAAATTATAGAGAGTAGGCAAGCACTGGTGGCTCACGCCTGTCATCCTAAGCACTCAGGAGGCTGAGATCTGAGGACTGCAGTTCGAAGCCAGCTCAGGCAAGAAGGTCTGTGAGACTCTTTATCTCCAAGGAACCACCAGCAAATCTGGAAATGGAACTGTGGCTCAGGTGGTAGAGTTCCAGCCTTGAGTGAAAGAGCTAAAGAAAAAGGCCCAGGCCCTGAGTTCAAGTCCTAGTATCTATGTGCGTTCACACACATGTGCATGCACGCATACACACAATTAAAAAATAAAAACCTAGTACTGTTGAATTCTGTCCTAGCGAACCCAGCTCTTGAGAATATTTACACACTAATGGGCTCCCCCATGCTCCTTTGAAACCCTCCTTCCACTCCGCTTACTGGTGTCTTGCAGCATAAGCTTGACTGGGGTTTGCAGCAGAGGGAGGAGGAGATTGCTGAGCTGCAGAAGGCGCTGAGCGACATGCAGATCTGCCTCTTCCAGGAGCGGGAACACGTTCTACGCCTCTACTCGGAAAACGACCGGCTGAGAATCAGGTATAACACAGAAGGAGGCAAGTGTCAGAGGAAAGAGGCTGAATTACATTGGAAATGGTGGGCTCGTCCCCAGCCGTTTTCTTGCGTTCTGACCCCCCCTCCCGGGAAACAGACTCTGCAGGACAGTTGTTCCCCGGCAGGCTTTCAGGAAAAGCACAGAACACATTCGAGAATTACGACCGCCATTCATTGGTAATGGAGGCGGAAGTGCCTCTGAGAGGTGGAGCCTTTTCCCTCCCCACACTGCCCAGTAGTGGGGCCTGAGGCTGCTGTCCTGGGCAGACTTAGCAGCGGAAGCCCCTGAGCCAAGCGCCGTCCTCAGGAAGGGCTCTGCCCGTTGGCGGTGGATGTGGCGACCCTCGGAGCCATGCACGCACAGCTCTGCCTTGGGGGCGGGAGGGTGGAGCGTAAAGCCGTTCAGCCATTGTGAGTGTTGGATGGCATTACGCACATCCGGCTGTGTGCAGCCATCGCCACTGTCTGACGGCAGCATCTTCTCCTGGGTTCGCCTTCCGTGGCAAGGCCCCACGGCCCCTTCTCCCAGCCCCGGGCATCCGCCAGTCAGCACTCTGCTTCTCCGCGTTTGACTGTGACGCCTTGTTAGCCGAACCCTGCAGTCCTTTGAGTCTTAGCCTCGCGTCAGCATGTGGCAAATACCTTTTTTTCTTTTTCATTTATTAATTTTTTTTGCCAGTCCTGGGGCTTGAACTCAGGGCCTGGGTGCTGTCCCTGAGCTTTTTTGCTCATGGCTAGCACTCTACCACTTGAACCACAGCTCCACTTCCAGCTTTTGGTGGTTCATTGGAGATAAGAATCTCACTTTCCTGCCCAGGCTGGCTTCAAACTCCAATCCTCAGATCTTAGCCTCCAGAGAAGCTTAGGATGATAGGCATGAGCCACTAGCCCCAGCCTAATTTACCCCTAGTAGTGTCCGGTCTTCATTTGAGGTTACTGCGGTTTCAAAATTAGTCAGAAGGGAAATCCTGTCAAAGGACGAGGGTCGCTGGGTGTGTGGCACATGACGTGTGCTTGCCTCCCGTGAGAACGGCAGGGAGCTGGAAGACAAGAAGAAGATCCAGAGCCTCCTGGCCCTCGTGGGAACGGACAGCCAGGAAGTGACGTATTTCTACAAGGAGCCTCCCCACAAGGCGAGTACCGCGGGCGTGCAGGGCAGGTGCGCGCGCAGTCAGCCTGAGACAGCACCCAGAGGCGCCAGCCGTCCCAGCCCCTGTGTATGAGCAGTTTTCAGAGCGTTTTCCTTTAAACCCTTGGAATAGCGCGGGGACCCCCATCCCACCACATAGAACTAGAAAACCCACAGCCTCAGGTGGAGAGCTCACCTAGCTTATGTGAGCTCATCCCCAGCACCACAGAAGAAGAAGAAAACGGAACCAAAGCCCCGAGGGGCGGGTGGCAGGTGCTTAAAGACAAGAGGCAGACTCTGCCGAGAACACAGCTCAGGTCTCGAGTCCGCATTTAAAATCTCGTTTATGTAGACTACACATGTATACGCACACAGGAATCCATTACATGAAAGCGTCCACTAACTCTAAACCCCAGGCAGACCGTGATTAATAGTTTTGTTCTACTCAGAAATATCTGTATGTATGTATCTGTTGTGTGTGTGTGTGTGTGTGTGTATGTGTGTAGAAAGTGTGCAACCCAGGCTGGCCTTGAAGCCCAGGGCTTCCTGACGCTGCCTCCCACAGGCTCAGGTGTGAGGTGCGTGCCGCCACGCCCAGGCAGCCTTTCACAACCATAAACAGTTTCTCAGGAGTTTGGTTGTGTTTTTTGTTATTGTTGTTGTTGTTGTCGGTCATGGGGCCTGAACTCAGGGCCTGGGCGCTGTCCCTCAGCTCTTCAGCTCAAGGCGAGCGCTCTTCTACTTGAGCCACAGCACCACTTCCGGCTTTTTCTGCTTATGTGGTGCTGAGGAATCGAATCCAGGGCCTCATGCATGCAAGGCAAGCGCTCTACCACTGAGCCACCTGCCCAGCCCTGTTTTTATATTTTTGAACACAGCTACATCAGTACCTGCTTGTTTTCTGTTCTTTTCCATAAGGACTTTGTTAAAGAGTCCTTTCCAGACCCATTTGAGAGAAACATTATTTATTTTAATGTATTTATGCATTCAATGTATTTATAGCTTATATATATCAATAATATGTTAAACGCATAGTAAGCATATATAATACGTATTAAACACATACTATGCATATATAAATACATATTTATTGTATTTATTTTCATATGCGTGTGCCCATCCTGGGGCTTGAATTCAGGTCCTGGGCACTGTCCCTCAAGGCAAACACTCAGCTCCACTTCTGCTTTTTGAGTTTATTGGAGATAAGTCTCAGGGACTTTCTGCCTAAGCTGGCTTCAAACCTCAATCCTCAGATCTCAGCCTCCTGAGTAGCTAGGGTGACGATGCGACTCCTCAGTCCACTATTCATTTGTCTCCTCAGCACTAGTCTTTAATCCAAAACTCTGTTTCTCCGCCCACGTGGCCTGCGGCACACCCGGCTCCTGATGCGAGTGTGGCCAGCAGGCCCTGCTGGGCCAAGCACACCCAGGCTTCCAACTTTGACGACCCTCCACCCTCCTTTGCTGCTTCAGATCAGCATTCCCCAGACGACCCTCCAGCCTGTGGGTGCGCAGGAGCCGGAGCGACCTTCCGAGTGCAAAGCAGGTAACCACGCGCCCTTGCCCCAGCCACCCAGACTCTGTCTACCATGCAGCAAAACCTCCGGCGCTCCCAGCATCCAGGGCCACGTGTGATTCAGTTCTGTGTAGCGCAGGTGTTCTTTGCTTTTTGTCTTTGTTGTTTTCATGCAGCTTTCCCTATTGATGCGTGATTATATCCACCCGTCCATGGGAGCGGTGTGGCATTTCAGCATTGGCTAGGTGTGTCAGGAGCGTGGCATCATCACAGTGAACACAGCTGTTACCTCACACAAGCACCTTTGTCTCTTCCATTTCCCTCTCCTCCATTTCACTTAGGTTTATTTTATTTCACCTAATTACTTTGTTTCACTTCAGAGGTGCATCTTGGGTGCTATACACCCAAGCTGTCTACTAGCAGTTCTCAAATATACATTTATTTATTGTTAATTCTGTGTGTGTGTGCGTGCATGCATGCATGCATGTGGGCCTGAGCGTTGTCCCTGAGCTCCTTTGCTCAAGGCTATACCACTTGAGCCACAGCATCACCTCAGAGGGTTTGGTGCTTCCTCCATTTTCCTTCTCGTAGTTGCTCCCCTCAAGTTACATAGTTTAACTTTTGCATAATTGGCATTGAACATCGTCACTGCATCTACTTGGCCTCCCTCCCCCCGTTCTTGGTGTCCATTCCACAGCTCCGTTCTTCATGAAGACTATAGATCCAACTTGCTTCATCTTTTCAAGGTCACCGTGGTGTCCGGGGAAAGTCCCACCGAGGTCCCTCGCTTGAGAGATGCAGCGATTCGGTTAGGGCCATTATGTACGATTGCTGCTGTATGTTTTCCTTTTCTCCTCTGCATACACACCCAGTGCTGGTCCTTGAATGGCGGCGAGAAAAGCTGAGGAAAGTTCTTGATGCCGTGTTGTATTGTATTGCAGATCCTAAAACAAGCAGGAAAAGAGCCACGCTGAGAGAAAAGGAAGCCAGTGCCGAGCACCACCAGCAGGATGTGGAGACGCTGGCCCTCCAGGTGACCTGCGTGACGTGTCGCCCGCCCCTGGCCCCGGCAGGTGGCACACGAGTCAGGAGACCGAGGCCACTGGCTTCTAAGCTCTTCATGTGATAAAACCCTGAATTCTCGACGTGAACATTCTAGAACCTCTCAACCTGCAGCCCACATGCTAAGCCCTACCCCACAAAACCATCCTAAAGTGAGAGTTTGCCTGGTGGCCTTGGAGACAGGCAGGGTTGCAGAGGGAGCGGGTCTGGGCTGACAATCACCGTGCGGGAGCTCACGAGTCGCGAGGTCCAGGAAAGCAGCAAATCACGTCTTGTCCGCCTGTCCTCGGTGGAGTGCTGGGACCAGGATTTCACCTGTGGGCAGGGAGGTCTGCTGGTTTAAACGACAGGTTCTACCTTTGGCCAATATCTCTAGAGTCATGACAGCAAACTCAGAAGGAAATTCTATTGCATTAATTTACAGGGCCTGGAGTTTGAACTCAGGGCCTTGAGCCCTGCCCCCAGCTTACGTTCATTTTCCTTTTTTTTTTTTTTAGTGCCAGTCCTGGGGCTTGAACTCAGGGCCTAGGCACTGTCCCTGAACTTCTTTTTGCTCAGGGCTGGCGCTCTACCACTTGAGCCACAGCACCATTTCCGGCTTTTTCTGTGTGTGTGGTACTGACGAATTGAACCCAGGGCTTCATGCGTGCTAGGCAAGCGCTCTACCACTGAGCCACCTTCCCAGGCTGCTTGCTCTGCTTTTTGAAACCCAGAAACTAAGAAGAGCCATTCCGTTTCTGTGCAGTTAGGGCATCTTCAAAGGGCATCAGTCCTAAGGGGCAAAAGGAGGCCAGGCCAGGCCAGAGTGCGAGGTGAGGGAGAGGAGAGTCTGTCATCTTGTCTGCGTGACACAGATTTGGAGCTGAATGTGCAGAGTCAACCCCATTCCTAAGACCGTAGAAGCGTTAGAGCTCTAACAGCTCTCCTGTGGCTGGGTTTTCCTTCTGGCCTAGAGCTGACATGGACAAAGCGTGATCAGCGCCCCCTGTCGGCCTGTGTAGGTAGAAGCACTGCAGGCCCAGCTGGAGGAGCAGGCCAAGCTTTCCCAGGAACAGGTGCACGGGCTCATGGAGGACAGGAGGATTCACCTGGAGGAGATCCAGGTTCAGCAGCAAAGAAACCAGCTCAGGATCAAGGAGCTTACGAGGAGGTGAGTGACTCAGGCTCTCAGCTTCCCCTCAAGGCTGGTGCTCTACCACTTGAGCCGTGCCTGCAGTTCCTTGCTGGTTATTTTGTAAAAGGAGTCGAGTGAGCTTTTCTGCCCAGGCTGGCCTTGAATTACAGTCCTCCATATCTCAGCCTCCTGAGTAGCTAGGGTTCTAGGGCTGAGCCATTAACACCCAGCTGTGTGGGTGGCGTTTGAGGGAGGGTCTTGCTGGGCTTTCTCGCTGGGGCCTGGGGCCTGCCTGTTTGTGTTTCTCCCATGTCACCAGAGTGACGAGAATGTGCCGCCATGGCAGCCAGTGGTTGAGGTCATTTCCCCAGCTTCTCTGCCCAGGCTGGCCTTGAACCATGACCTCCCTGCGTCTGCGTCCCGTTCTTCCAGTGTTCGTGCAAGCTGTTTCTTTAGGTTGTTCCTCCTGCTTCTCTGGGGTTGTGTAGCCTTCCCAGTGCTGCGAGGTCTCCTCCACGGATGTCAGACAGCCACCATCCCCCGGGCCAAAGCGCTGACATCTCGGCATCAATTATTAGGGACCCCATTATCTGACTCTGCATTCTCTCTTGGCCCGTATTCACTGTGTGCTTCAGCCAGGCTCAGAGCAGCAGCTGGGGTGGGCGGGCGCAGGCTGGTCCACCTCCTCCACGTCCCACCATGAAGTCCCGCCCCCACCTGACAAAATGCGTCTGTCCCCGGGGGCCTCTGTCCTGTCCCCTGCCTGAGCACAAGAGCCACACACAACGCTCCCTGCAGCATAGCACCCAGCCTAAGCTGGCTGAGGAGAGAGCCCGGGGCCTTGTCCTGCGAGGCCCCACTGACCCTCAGAGTAGAAGCCCAGCCGTGGTTTCCCAGCCCATCCATCACCACCCCGTGGTGCATGAGCTCTGCATCTGACCCCCGTGGGGCATGAGCTCTGCATCTGACCCCCGTGGGGCATGAGCTCTGCATCTGACCCCCGTGGGGCATGAGCTCTGCATCTGACCCCCGTGGTGCATGAGCTCTGCGTCTGACCCCCGTGGTGCATGAGCTCTGCGTCTGACCCCCGTGGGGCATGAGCTCTGCATCTGACCCCCGTGGGGCATGAGCTCTGCGTCTGACCCCCGTGG